GTGAGCACAAGATTTTGTTTTGTCAAGGTTTATACTTCAAAAGCTAGATCCAACATCCGGTGCTGTTGTCTATTGCTTTTCTGATGTTTCTCTACCACAGACTGTCAAATCTGCGTTTGTCAACATTTTCCTCAATGTTTAACAGTCTTGCTTTAAATTTTATTTCCATTCAGCCTTTACAATAATATACATCATCCAAGCAAGTTGGCTGTTGGAGCAGACTTTTATTGCTTCAAACATAAAATTGAACCAAAATGGGAGGACCCTGTTTGTGCTAATGGAGGAAAATGGACTATGAATTTCCAAAGAGGAAAATCTGATACCTGTTGGTTGTATACGGTATGCCTCACTATCTTTGGTATCTAGCTCCGTGTAGCATTCACTTTGTATATCATTTATGGACTCTGATTGCCGTGCATGCTGGTTCTAGTTGCTGGCAATGATTGGAGAACAGTTTGATCATGGAGATGAAATTTGCGGAGTTGTCGTGAATGTCAGAGGCAGGCAAGAGAAGATAGCCTTATGGACCAAAAATGCTGCAAACGAGGCTGCTCAGGTAAAATTGAATGACAAAGCTAACTGATGTTTATATCTCTGTTATAATGGTCTTATATTTTGGGTGGTCTTAGTTATTTTAACGATTTGCTTAATTTAATTATTTAGTTCTCCTGGACTTGCTTTATGTTTTCCTTAGTTAATTGTGATCACTTTCCTATTCTAATAGTAGCATTATTTGTTCCTCATTGTATTGGTATAGATACCAGTACTTCGGGAAATTCCTATTCTAACTCTTTTTGGAAAAAGTTTCTTCAGACTCTATGAATACTCTTGTCATCTCATCTTTGAAATCATTTGAGTCGATATAGGTTACTCTGGGAATTTTCTTAATATCTTGGTTTGGTGATTCAATAGTGTAATGGTCAAGAAGCCTAGGTGTGGTAGCTAAGGCAGCCCAGATCCCTAAGTGGACTAAATAACCCAAATTCATCTTACATCAACTTGTATACTTTGAGAGAATTTCTTGCTCTTGGCTTCATTAGGCTTGACTATTTTATGCTAATAGACAGATTCGTTGTATTCCCCATGATGATTTGCTTCTGTTTAATTTATTTTATCAAAGTGTTACCGGTGGAAAACTAAAAAGATAAGAAGTAATTATGGACTGTAAAATATTGATTCCTATAACATTAGTGGACCATGTGATGAACCATGTATATACGCCATTGCACAGAATCATTGAAATAGAATGGCATGTAAGTTTGTTGAAAGTGTAAGTTACTATTTTGATGAATGATTAGATGGCTTGCCTGCAACTTGCTATGACAAAATGAGATATTTGGAATGGGATGCACGTCATCTTCAAGATGAGTAGGCTTCTTGGTGTTGCCTACCCAACCATGGTGATAAGACAATTAATTTAAAATACAAACTCGTGAGGCATGAATAATTGCATACATTAGTCGAGGAGTTTGCATGTTTTCTTAAATAAATTTCTTGTTGCAGATGAGCATTGGGAAGCAGTGGAAGGAATTTCTTGATTACAATGACACCATGGGGTTCATATTTCACGTAAGAATTTTGTGTTCAAATTTAGGCACACAAATTTATATTTGTCCCTGGCTTATTGGTGGCAGCTCGAGTAACTTCTTGGTTTTTCTTTTCAGGAGGATGCAAAGAAGCTTGAGAGAGCTGCTAAGAATCGCTACTCGGTATGAAATTTGCTGGTTGTTCAGCATTCGCCACAGGAATTCTAAATGTTGGATTCATATCCGAACCTTAGAATGACTTGTACTTACCTTCTTTCCGTAATAGGATAGTTTTCTCAGGCTATTAGGATAGTTGGATAAAAGCAATGCTGCACCTTTTCTCTTCATATCCTAGTTTGGGAATTCATGCCACCAAAAATTGCCGCTTTATTCTGGTTTAATCAAAGATTAATGTTGTCAATAGTTTCTCGGTCGAAAGAGTTTTCTCTTCATATATCCTATTTGAATGGTTACTAAAATGTAATAACCTGGGTGCAAATCTGGATACTGGGATGTATGTTTTCTTTCTGCAGGTCACAGAGTACATAATTGCAAATTTTTCTGATTTATGCATTAAAAATGCTGCTTTCAGTTTCTCTGGGAACTTTTGTTTAATGGAAGCAGTGATGGTTTGAATTAAGTACACTCTGATACTCTTTCTTTTTTGAAGCCCATGTTGTTTAACTAAAGATTTTCAAGAAAAGGAAAAGATTTCTCATGGAGAAGAAATATTCTTTGGGTGAAGAGTGAGAGGGTGGTTGAGATTATTTGTCTAATGAATTTACTGAACAACTTATTTCACACTCACTTATAGTTGATAATATATGATAAACTATACAATACTGTAATAATTATATATCTGTATTAATATTTGTGTATGCATGTGTGTCTATAGCTGCAATACAGTAATATGTATAATATTGTCTTGTGATATGTATGATTAATCTCTAATATTTGTAATGTAATATGTATAATTAATCACTAAGTTTGAAACTACACGTTGAATCAACAATATATGTAAACATAAATTTTTCAAAAAAAATTTCGAAGAAAAAATGTTGTGTATGATTTTACTTGGATGATTTTTTAATATGTTAAGAGAGAGATATTTCGAGAAGAAATAGTCTCTCATTTAATATCTATAATAATTAGATTATGGATCTAGGTCAAAAAACCCGATTTGAATATTTTTTTGATCCGAATATTAAGATTTATAAGTTAATGGATATAAAAAGTTTAGAATGCTATTAAAGAATTTATAATCTCATATTTTCTAAAAATTAGGCTAAATTAAGGACATTTTTAGTGGTTACATGAATATATAGTTCAATTTTAATTAACTATTGTTCTGAAAATATATATATATATATAGTTAATAAAAATACTTAACTATAAAGTCATATTTGTTGGGAAAAAATTTAAATTATGATGTATTTTTAGGTAATATTTTGTTGGAAATGGAAGGAAAATGACTGAGAGATTAATAAAAAACTCAATTTTTAAATTTATAGTTGCTTCTATAAATTTTTAAGTATATGAATATATATAAATACTAATACAACTATTAAAATTTTAAATACATAAGTTATAATTAATCTAATTTATAAATTATAATTAAATTTAATATATGAATTATTTAAAAAAAACTCAAAACATATATTTTAATTATAATACTCATAATTTTTATTTAATTTAATTTTTTAATAAAATAAAGAGTTTAAATATATTGAAATTTGCAAATTATTTTTTTCAAAATTTTTATATACGTTGAATCAACAATATATACCCACATAAATTTTTCAAAGAAAAAATTTGTGTATGTTTTTACTAGGATGTTTTTTAAATATGTTAAGAGAGAGATATTTTAAAGAGAAATTGTCTCTGGTTTACTATCTATAATAGTTAGATTATGCATCTAGGTCGAAAAACTCGACTTGAATATTTTTTTGACTCGAACATTAATATTTATACATTAACACATTCAAAAATTTTGAAACGTTATTAAAGAAATTATAATGTAGCGATCCCGAAAATTCAAAAGAAAATACATATAATAATTTGAGTGCGGAAGCGAAATAAAGATTAAGCTTAATATCCTTTACACAATAACTTAAAAGTACTAAATAATATCACGGAATAGTTCTCTAAAAGAAATATGAGAAATGGAAAAAATAAAGAAAACTATAAAGTATCTATCATCTACTCGCCGTCTTTTTGTGGATCGGACTCAGGAATCAGGTCCTCCTGACTTGAAATAGTTAAATAAGGAATGAGTTACACTACCCCAATAAGGACATCACACTATATCACCGTCACAGAAATAAAAGTTAGTAAAAAACCGAAAACAACCAATGGAGTACATGTAACGGCCCCGGAAAATATTAAAATGAAATGAGTATTTAAATATATCGAATGCGGAAGCGAGATCAAAATTTCATTTAACATCCCTTACACGAAAAACCAAACAAACGTACTTAAAATACAAAAGGTTAAACTAACTAAGAAAGAAAACTCGAAAATAAACTATGCGTATGACTACAGAGTCTCTAGGCATCCCCTTCGTCGTCCTCCTGCGGAACGGGCTCGGGAACCATGTCTTCCTGATCTGAAATGGTTAATTAACGAGTGAGCTACACTAGCCCAGTAAGAACATCACGATATCTCACCGTCACGGAGATAAAGTGGGTAGAAACCACAAAAGACCAATGAGCATATTTACATAACTCGTTATACACAAACTTTATCATATAAACTTTACATCACT